TGTGGCAGTGAATTCCATGCTGTTTTAACTATTCTGTATTCACTGGCTGAGCCCAAGTTTTAATGCTGTGACAGGGGATGAGGAATGACATGTTCCTCTTTTTTTTTTACCACCAAGTCACAGTTAACTTATGGTAACCCAGTGAGGTTTTCAAGGCAAGAGATGTTCAAACATCTGTTTCTGTGTCATCACCCTGGCCTTCCTTGGTGGTCTCCCATCCAAATACTAGTCAGGAACCACACTGCTTAGCTTCTAAGATCTGATGAGCTATCCAGGTCAGGGCCATGCATTATTTTATAAATCCCTATGCTATCATACCACTTAGTTGTCCTTTTGTTGTTGTTGCTCAACTAAAGAACACCCAAACACTTTAGCACAGGGGTGTCAAACATGCGGCCCGGGGGCCACATTAGGCCCCCGGAGGGCTTCTATCAAGCCCGCAGTGGAACTGGCTGTCTTCTGCTTCTTCTTCCAGTTCTGCTGCTGCTGCATCATTGTAGGTTTGAAGCTTACAGATACACACCTGAACAGCACACTCAGGATTGCAACAGCACAGACATTTTGATGCAAGAGGTGTCAGTTATCAGACACTGTTAAATAAACAAAATATTGCAAGAGTGCTGATGTTTTAGGCATGTTTTATTTTAAGTAAAAAAACACGTTTGTGTCCTTTATAAAGTTTATATCTCCACTACCTGGCATTACATTTTATGACACACATGGCCCGGACCAACAAGGTCTCATTTATGTCAAATCCGGCCCAAATAAGAAAATGAGTTCGACACCCCAGCTTTAGCCTTTCCTCACAGACAAAACACTTAAACCCCTTGATCATTTTGGTTACCCTTTTCTGTACCTTTATTTTTTTTTAAGATGGGGTGACTAGAATTGTACACAGTATTTCAGAAACATATATCATGTTTATGAGGTGCTGGTATTCTGTTTACCGAAAAAGGTGATCTTAGGCTGACTTTATGGCATCTTGTCTAGTGTAGATTTGCACCATCTAAGGTACAATCTAAGGATGATGCACTTACGTATTCCAAAACAGATCTGAGCAAACTAATATTCCAATAACAAGAGTCTGCAAAATGGTCCTAAACTGGAGATGTAGTTAGTCTGGCAGATTCCTATAATCATTAACTTTCTTTGGAGCTAAGCAACTGCATCTGGAAATTTATCACAAAGGCATTGGCACAAACAAGTAAGACAAATAGACTGATTATATCAGAGATACTTAGTGAGTTTAAAGGAGAGACTGCTACAAGTAAACTTCACATTTTGATCATAGTGTTCAGTAGCTCACTAACTATACTTTCAGTACTGCAGGGATGTTTTTGCTTTTGTTTATTTTTAATAACATCATAGCTATAAATCCCATCATACATATTTCAGAAAAACACTAGTGTATTACAAGGAGGCCAATATAGGTTAAAACTGTAGGATAAATCTGCAATAGTTTTGACAATGGAACTGGCTGTTTTTATTCAGCTCAAACACACTTTGTTCGGGGGAAGGAAGTACCACTGGTCACCCTTCTAACTAGAAATCCATAGAACATTTAAATTGCTTTTTGCATTTATTTGGTCTCTGTTTCAACACTGATTAGAAGATACATTTACTATCCTTTATTAACATCACTAACACTTGTATACAAATAGCAAAAAGCAGATTCAAAAGCCCGTGCTGTCTGATGGTCATGTGTTCAAACTTTGGAAAATGAACACACGTTTTTATTTTTACCAAAGGCTGGTGAATTCTCAAGTTCAATTGCATTTATAGAATCATAGAATTGGAAGGGATCTCTGGGGTCATCTAGTCCAACCCACTGCACAATGCAGGAAATTCACAATTACTTCCCTCTCCACACCCACAGTGACCACTGTTCCATGTCCAGAAGATGACAAAAAATCTCCAGGATCCCTAGCCAAACTGGCCTGGAGAAAACTTGCTTCCTGACCCCAAAGTAGCAACCAGCATTTCCCTGGGCGTGTAAGAAAGGGCCACAAGAACTAAGCACTGAGGCAACCCTTCCTGCCCTCCCTCTCATGATCTGCCTAAATTCACACAATCAGCATTGCTGTCAGATGGCCATCTAGCCTCTTTTTGAAAACCTCCAAAGTTTTTCACTGTTACCACCTCCCAAGGAAGCTTGTTCCACTGAGGAACCACTCTGTCATGAAGTTCTTCCTAATGTTTAGCTGAAAACTTTTCTGATTTAATTTCAACCCGTTGGTTCCGGTCTGACCTTCTGGGACAACAGAAAAGAACTCTGCATCATCCTCTATATGACAGCCGTTTAAGTACTTGAAGATGGTTATCATATCACCTCTCAGTCATCTCCTCTCCAGGCTAAACATACCCAGCTCCTTCAACCTTTCCTCATAGGACTCGGTCTCCAGACCCCTCACCGTCTTCATTGCCCCCCTCTGGACATGTTCCAGCTTGTCTATATCCTTCTTAAATTGTGGTGCCCCAAACTGAACACAATACTCTAGGTGAGGTCTAACCAGAGCAGAGTAAAGTGGTACCATCATGTCACATGATCTAGATGCTATACTTCTATTGATACAGCCCAAAATCGCATTTGCCTTTTTAGCAACCGCATCACACTGCTGACACATGTTCAGTGTATGGTCTACTAAGACCCCTAGATCCTTTTCGCACATGCTACTGCCAAGACAAGTTTATCACAATGATGATTACTTCATGCTCACTCCATTTGCTGATCTCATCAGATTCCCAGATGCTATCCCTCTATGCCTGGATTTCTCATTCAAAAGGCACCAATCCATAATATTTCCTTAATCACCCTCTACTGGCCAGCTGACAATATGGGACAAACTAGAAAATGCTATCCTGATCAATAACTCAGGTAAACCCTGATGTTCTCATCTTGACATCAGATTACATGTGGTTAAAGGTAAAGGTTCCCTTGCTCGAAAGCCAGTCGAATCCGACTCTAGGGTTGCGGTGCTCATCTCCGTTTCAAAGCCGAAGAGCCAGCGCTGTCCGAAGACATTTCCGTGGTCATGTGGCCAGCATGACTAAACACCAAGGCGCACGGAACGCTGTTACCTTCCCACCGAAGTGGTACCTATTTATCTACTTGCAATTTCTTGCTTTCGAACTGCTAGGTTGGCAGGAGCTGGAACTAGAGATGGGCGCTCACTCCATCATGCGGCACCCGGGTCTCGAACTGCTGAACTACTGACCTTCCACAGCCTGCAGTTCAGCGTCTTAACCACTTGAGCCACCGCAGCTCCCTACATGTGGTTAGTGATACCTAATTCCAGGTACACAAGATATGAGTACCCTGGATTTAGTAGGAGCTACATAAAAATACTGTTGTGCTTTGTTTCTTAAGGGAAAATAAGTTCCAACTAGTTCTTAGTTCTTTTAGAATAAATGTATGACAATGTCAACAAGAAAATTTTTGCATTCTATATGAGAGCCACTGTGGTGCAACAGCTAGAGTAGGACGGGGGTGGGGGGGGTGGATTTATATCCCTACTCAATCATGAAGCTCCCTGGGTTACCTGCAGCCAGTCATTAACATATATACACAGGGATATTAAGAGAATAAAGCAGGTGGGATAAGAAACAAGTATACCACTCAGCTCCTTGTAGACCGGGCAGAATAAAAAAACAGAACAAAACTAGCAGGGATGGCGCCACACAGAAAAATTAGCACCAATCCATACTCTGACTGGCAGCTGTTCTTCAGGCTGTCAGGCAGAGGTCTTTCACATCGGCGACTACTCAGTCCTTTCCATCTGGAGGTGCCAGGGTTTAACTGGGTCATTCTGAGTGTAAAGCAAACCCTCCACTGCTGACCCATGGCCCCACCACATGACCATACACTTGGGCATTTTTACACTGAAGAGTCCCTTATGAACACGTGCATACAGGTAATGTCAGCAAAGAATTGTGTATGACTACATCCTACATAATGGACTGCAGACTTTCAGGGGTTATCCTTATTTCCAGACAATGCTTGGATTCCTTCAATACTTGCATGACAAGACCAGGGATTCAAACCCTCACTCGACTCAGCATCCTTGGTTACCTCCAGCTAGTCACTGTCTCACTCAACTCAAAGGGTTTCTGTGAGAATAAAACAGAGAAGGGAAGAACACCACCTCCAGAGCCTTGGGGATAGGGCAGGGTAAAAATCTGGCAGATAACGAACAAGCGGATGAAATTTCTCCTGGGATGGGACAAGTTGTACCTGCTGAGTTCCATCAATCTGTGCTGATGTGCCTGCACCCTTCCCCAAGGGAGCAAAAAAGGGAAAAACAAGAACAACCTTCCAGCCTTTAAGAGCCTCTTCAGCAACTGAACCAATTCGGACAACTCAGCAAACTTAGCATGAAAGACTGAAGTCATAAGAGCTACCCGTGACTTTTGTTTTTTAAGGGGAAGAGTGAGCTTCCTTTCCCAGACTCTAAAAATTACATTAGAATGTACATTAGAAAGCACCCAAGGACTCCCTTGCGAAGGAACTGAAGCGCATACAGGTGACCCAAGTAGCCGGAGCTCTTGTCACTTCGACTGCCCTGCCCTCCAAGCGGCGCAGCTCACAGGCACAGCCCCTCCCCAACTCTTAGCCTCGGTAGAGGCCTGAAAGGACAACCCTCCTCCCCCGGCTTCATACCACGGCTCTGCTGAGCCGGGGCGCAGCGCCCTGGCCCGAAAAGCAGCCAGATGCCAAAGCGAGCAGCACAGAACTGCAACCACTGATCCGCCCCAAGGGAGAGCGCAAAGCTCCACAACCCCCGCCCAGAGCTCACTGCCTTCTCACTCCAGCCAGCGAGCTAGCCCCTCACCGCTTCGGGTGGCGCCAGGTCGGTAAGCAATCCTGCTTGGCCAACCAAGGTCCCCTCTGCCGAAGCGCCGCCACTCACTTCACGTGCCCTCCCCTTTGGCCCCGCCCCCTCCTGGTGACTGCGCAGCCTGGAGGATTTTCTCCCTCCAGCCAGCGAGCTAGCCCCTCTCACCGCTTCGGGCGGCGCCAGGCCGGTAAGCGATCCCGCTCGGCCAACCAAGGTCCCCTCCGCCGAAGCGCCACCACTCGCTTCGCGTGCCCTCCCCTTCGGCCACGCCCCCTCCTGGTGTTTTATAGTTCGCTCTCTCGCACGTGACTGCGCCGCCTGGATGATCCTGAGCCACTCCTCCAGCTCTGGCCTGCCTCGTTAAGAGGCAGTTAGTTAGCGTAGGGGCGGCAAAGGCGGAGCCCTTCCCAGCGGCGGAGCTCTGTAGCGCGCCCTCGCTGCTGATCCCTGCCTTTGGCTGAGGAGTTTTTTTAACACAGGGAAAGGGAAAGACCAGCAGGGAACATCTTTTTGAGATGCACATGCTCCTGTAATTTGATTTTGTGAACGGGCTTGCATGACAATATACCTTTCTTTTAAGCACACGAGGACTGATGTTAGAGAGGGTCACGTTGATGAAACCACCTGTGCGTAACTTTTTAAGGCATGCCTTATCAAATAAGGAAAAGTTGGGAGCAAAGGTGGAAGGAATGTGCTTTTGTTGTTGTTCAGTCGCACAGTCGAGTCCGACTGTTTGCGAATGTGCTACATACAAAAATTGCAGTACACTAAAAACCTATGTTCAAGTACATTAATATGGGAGAAGGTGGCCCCTGAGATCTCCTTTATTTGGTCAAAACCAGCACTTTGACCCGCAGCTGAAACTGTGGATTAATATAGGCATAATCTAGCCCAAGTGGCTCATCCTGACCAACACAGGGCAGCCATCTTCTGAAGTGAACTCTGATTTTTTTTTCCTGCATAGACAACTCAGAGGCTTAATACAAGTGCATTCAAAACTGTGTATACATCACATATACATTCAAGCTATGTTTTGTTTTTATATATGCTCAAACACACCACAGAGGGACTGAGAAGCACTTTAATTGGCACTTGTGAATTCATTAAACGGTCAAGGACTGAATTCAATAGATGGCCCTACCTCAACCCAACATTCTGACCCTAATGTAGGTTTACTCAGCTATGCCCCACTGATTTCAATGTACTCCCAAGTAAATATGTACTGGAATGCAGCTGATTTTTGTGACGCTATGCCCCAGTTGCAGTGTAATCTTGAGAACAGATACGCTCAACTAATTCCATTGTTACTGATAGATTTACGCACATCTCATCCTGCACAAGATCAGAGTTTCTGGATAAGATAAATGTGTTTTGTAAAAGTCATAGCAATACACCTTAGCAGAATTACATCACTAAGACTTGTTAGTGCAGACAACCTAAATGTTCAGCAGATGCAGAATCTTCCCACACTGATTACAAATTTTGCCTTTGGGCATGTGGGATACACAACCAGCTGACTGAGTCCTAATAATAACTTCCCTGTCTCCATCCCCTCACAATCAGCGCTCAATGTTATATATCTATATAGATATAGATACAGATATCCCCTTATCCTTATTATTACTGATCTTGTATCGAAATAAAGTTTGAACTGATTACAAGATCAGGTCCCAAGCTGTATACATGAGTATACCCTTCCTGTGCAATATTAAGACATTTTAAAGATTATGCATTTTTCTTGAATGCAGAGAAATAGTGTGCCAGCAAATTACATAGTTTTAATTAAACGTACATTATACACACAGGCACACACACATGAAACATTTCATCTGATTAAAACAAACCTTTGGCTATTCTGTAGAAACTCTTAGGAGGAGTATCTCATCGGAGGGAAATCAAAAGTAATGAGGATGACTAACTGACAAGATGCTAGAAGAATATAAGGAAGAGTAGGTGAACTGGTATAACTGGTAAAACTATGGCTACAATAAATATCTTTCTCTGATCCAACATGATTTTTGTCATTATGCTGGAATGTAGATGGAGATAAATATGAAATTGATTGCATAAATTAGCTCTGAACTCCAGATATATGCATTCTACCCCAAATTAACTCAGACAAGCCGTATGAGGGCGCAGATGACGGTTATTATTGGATATGAATCGATTCTGTTACTCTTTCTGCGGCAAAATTTGTAGTGGCAATAATCAAACTGCAGAAGAAGAATATCAAGTAAGGCGTTAATTTTATTTTATTTTACTATTTTATTTTCTGGTTAAGGCTATAGCTGAATGAGCAGTAACAGATAAGATAGAACTCAGCCAAGCTATAATTTTATCTATTACACATGAAAATAATTTTACAGTATATGACCACAATACAGTAGAAAATATGTTAAGATATTAGGGTTGCCAACCCCTAGGTGGTGGCTGGAGATCTCCTGCCATTACAACTGATCTTCAGACATCAGTTCACCTGGAGAAAATACCACTGTGGAAGGTGGACTTTATGGCATTATATCCCACTGAAGTCCCTTTCCTCCTCAAACCTCACCATTTTTAGGCTCTACCCACAAAATTTCCCAACCTGGAGCTGGCAATCCTATGCATTATGCATATCATAATCATGTTTTAAGTTTGGAAACAGTATAATTTCTCTTATGATACAGCACTGCAAAACTGGTCAGATAACGTCAGCACAGTGACAACACTGACCAAAAGTAGTTTGGAATGTCTCCTCCCGAATCAGACATGTTTAAATGGTAGCAACTATTAAGACAACAGGATGACACATTAAAAGGGTGGAATGGGTCCTGGGAGCATTTTATTGGCAAAAAATACAATATAAAAAGTACTAGGCAATACTATAGAAAGTTATTGAAAGGCTAGAACAGAACTGCCTGTATTTACATGGTGTGGCTTCCATCCCAAGACAGTGCTGCTTCTTGCCTTATCAGACTGGAGTATGGAGAAGGGCAAAGGCAACAGATTTTCAAGGATGTAGATTGCCCTCCACAGGTTAGCATACAGTCCAGTCCTATGCATGTTTACAAGAAAGTAATCACTACGTTACTTGTGGCGTGTTTTCAAGTAAATATATGTAGGGCTGAACCTGCAAGCCCAAACCAACCCAAACTCTTTAGTTTAGAGAACAGGACAGTTAAGAATATTAGGAATGGTTGAGAAAAATGAACAGGGAAGAACCATCTCTGTGCATGACTGCTTGCTGGTAAAGATCTTTGTCAAAGGTTCTGCTCTGAGCACCCCCAGTAACAGAAAAGAAAGACATGGCTAATTTTTTACAGATCCATTTGATTGAGGTTTTCTTATTTCCCTTTTATAATACAGTAAGGTAACTTGTTTAAAAATACCACAGTCCAGACCACTGAAAACAGTGCATTGTTGATGGTGGATTCCTTGATTTCCATACAGCAGCAATACACATCCTTGCTACAGCCACCAAAACTACAACTCATTCTATATCATTAAATATAATGTAGCTCTTTTTAAAAATGCTTTAGGTTCCATGGGCAGTTCACACCCTGTAATACCTCTAATTCACTTGTTCCTAGAAGGTACAATGGACAACCAGTATCAAAACTTATGTATAATATATGTATCCTTTCCTTAGCAATTCCAACATTCTGCATCCCTCAAACAGCAAATATGCTTAAATCTCACAGGTATTAAGTACAGTTATAAATTAACTGTAATTTATAAAAATTGTTTCAGATAAACTTTAGTTACATTTTAATCTATAGTACTCCTGATCCAGTACCATTCTTGTTCCAACATGGACCAACCAATTTCCAAGATGAAACATCCCCCTTTCTCTTATAATTTTGCTCCTTAGTTTGTAAGCTATTCAGAAGTTATCAATTTAAACTGTTTTTATTTATCCACAATCGGTTCTGGATTACTACGGGGCTCTCCAGAAAGTGGAAAATCTCCTGTTGAATTGACATTATTAAAATTGCACAGGATTGGAAAAGGTCACTATACATTCCAATCCCAAAGAAGGGCAATGCCAAGGAATGTTCAAACTATTTATTTATTTCATTTATACCCCGCCCTCCCCACATGCGGGCTCAGGGTGGCTTACACAGGCACAAAAGTGCGATAAAAATACAACAAGTTAAAACAATTAAGGCACAAGTGCAGTAAAAGTCAACAGTTAAAACAGTATAGTCAAAAATGCACATCTCGCAGGATACATGATGACTACAATACTTACTCCCTATTGCATATCCCAGTGGGGTCAAAAAAAGGGGGGGGGGGATGCCATGGGCCACGATATTTCAGCTGGCTAGTAAGCCTGACGCAGCGGAACTGCTTTGCAGTCGCATGGTGGTGGTAGTGGCGGCAGCGGCTCCTACTCAAAAGCCTGGCGGAAGAGCTCCGTCTTGCAGGCCCTGCGGAACTGTACCAGCTCCCGCAGGGCCCTGATCTCCTCCGGGAGCTCATTCCACCAGGTAGGAGCTGCCACCGAAAAGGACCTAGCCCTTGTGGCCGCAAGCCTGGCCTCCTTGGGGCCCGGGGTCACTAGGTGGTGTTGTGACCCCGACCGAAGTGCTCTTTGGGGCCTCTGTGGGGAAAGGCGGTCTGTCAGGTATGCCGGGCTCTGGCCATGTAGGGCCTTAAAGGTAAGCACCAGCACTTTGAAGTGAATCTGGAATGCTATAGGCACTCATAGGCATATAATTGCACTCATATCACACGCTAGCAAGGTCATGCTCAAGATCCTACAAGCTAGGCTTCAACAGTACATGGATAGAGAACTGCCAGAAGTACAAGCTGGGTTTCGAAGAGGTAGAGGAACTAGAGATCAAATTGCCAACATTCGCTGGATTATGGAGAAAGCAAGAGAGTACCAGAAAAACATCTGCTTCTGCTTCATTGACTATGCTAAAGCCTTTGACTGTGTGGATCACAACAAACTATGGCAGGTCCTTAAAGAGATGGGAGTACCAGACCACCTCACATGTCTTTTGAGAAACCTGTATAAGGGTCAAGAAGCGACAGTTAGAACCGGATATGGAACAACTGATTGGTTTAGCATAGGAAAAGGAGTACGACAAGGATGTATATTGTCACCTTGCTTATTTAATATATATGCAGAGTACATCACGCAAAATGCTGGCCTGGATGAATCACAAGCGGGAATTAAGATTGCTGGGGAAAAGATCAACAACCTCAGATATGCAGATGATACCTCTCTAATGGCAGAAAGTGAAGAGGACCTAAAGAGCCTCTTGCTCAGGGTAAAGAGGAGACAGGAAAAGTGGGCTTGAAGCTCAACATCAAAAAAACCTAAGATCATGACATCTGGCCCCATCGCTCGTTGGCAAATAGAAGGGGAATTCGTGGAAGTAGTGACAGACCACATTCCTGGGATCCCCGATCACCGCAGACTGTGACAGCAGCCATGAAATTAAAAGATGCCTACTCCTTGGGAGGAAAGCGATGGTGGTGAACCTAAACAGCATGATAAAAAGTAGAGATATCACCCTGCCAACAAAAGTCCGCATGGTCAAAGCAATGGTATTCCCAGTAGTCATGTATGGCTGCGAGAGTTGGACTATAAGGAAGGCCGAGTACTGAAGAATAGACTCTTTTGAACTATGGTGCTGGAGAAGACTCTTGAGAGTCCCTCGGACTGCAAGAAGATCAAATCAGTCAATCCTAAAAGAAATCAACCCTGACTGTTCCCTGGAAGGCCAGATAATGAAGCTGAAGCTCAAATACTTTGGCCACCAAATGAGAAGGGAGCACTCACTGGAGAAGACCCTGATGCTGGGAAAGATTGAAGGTCAAAGAAGACCGGGACGGCAAAGGATGAGATGGTTAGACAGTGTCATAGATGCAACGAAGATGACATTGAGGCCTGGCGTGATCTGGTCCATGGGGTCACAAAGAGTCGGACTCGACTGTGCGACTGAACAACAACAACCTTAAAAGGAGTCTTGAGGAACATTAAATACAAAGATTTACTGTGCCATAGGGTTTCGTGGGCTAGAGTCCAGAGATCTTGGGGCTAGCCTCTAATGCACAAAGAACATGTATTGTAATAAGGCTGCAATCCTATACAGTACGCCCTACTCAACAAAGGACTCGTTTCTGAATATGCATCGGATTTAATATAAATCTGACACTCTTTGAAGTGCCACAACACTCCGTTTTGACATCCCTCCCCTGGAAACGGAAATATATGTTTAGAATTAGGATACTAGTTTATTAAATTCTATTTATCCTTATTACATCCTCTGTCCATAGAATCGGCAAGAGTCGGACACGACTGAATGGAGAACAACAACAATCCTTATTACACGGAGACTCTCAATAACAATTCCTGAATCAATGCGTTCTGTACAACTGAAATGCATAAAAAGTTATTTTTCCTTTACATTGGTCTCCTTTCATTTGACAGCCTTGTTCCGTGCCCCTCCCTTCCTTTTTGCAGTAATAGTGAACCGGCCACGCCCCGGAGAGCCAGGGTATCCCAGTACCCTCCGCAACCCCAAATCTACGACGTTGGGAAAGAAGACGGCTCACCAAGACCGTTTGTTGGGCGTTAAGCGCTTCAGTATTGTTACTGCGCATGCGACAGAATCTATCTCGCGCATGCCTTCTGAGTAGCTTTTCTACACGCGTTGCGGAGCCTACCGGGGGGGGGGTGTGTGTGTGTG